ATCACATACTCATAAAGAAATAAGATCTAGAAGTTATATACTAAGATTACCTTTAGGTGATGAGATTATGGGTATGCTTTATTTTCTTTTAGCCTAACAGCATTTTATATTTTTTTCTACCATAGGCAAGCAAGTAAATATATAAACATATCAATAAACATGAGTAGCATTAAGAATAAGAAATTATTTTAAATGAAAAACAAACATAATAAAAGTTCTTATATATCAACTAAAGAAGAAATATAATGCCTAAACATAAAAAATATGGATACAGTCAGAAAATGAAAATTCTACAAAGAAACACGAAGAGTTAATAAACACAGAGAAAAGTATTCATCCTAATTGAATATTCAGTAACTACAAATTACAATAGGATTCTATTTTTCCACCTATTAAACTGTCAAATATTGTTTAATTATACAAATCAACATTGGAGAGCCAATTTACATGGCTGAATAAAAACAAACTTCTATTCCCTTCTGAAATCCTTAAAAATAATAGTAAAAGGATAAAAAAGACTTTAAATTATGTGATTGTTGTCCTTTCTTCTTTATTTTTCTGCAAAGAAGAGATGTCACAAAATTTTAGAAGCCTGGAAATCAGATGTGTAAGTTCAAACTCAATTAGTCAACTAGAAAAATCAAAACTGAAATATTTTCTGGCTAGGGCTGAGAAGGGGGTTAAGCTGAAACATGCCAGAGAACTCCTGAGAGGCTCAGGGATGGAGGAACCACGCAGGAACGGAGGTGGGACCGAAAGCATGACTAGTTGAAAGGCTGCATAGCAGTAAAAATCCAAGATGCCCTCCTCTATCTCCAGAGCCAGTTAGCTATCTCTCTCCATCTTAAGAAGACTGGAGGCTTATTCCCCCGGAGAAGTTGAACCAGAGTGACTCTGGTCTTGGGGGCCTGAAATACAGTTGAAGACAGAAATACCACATAGTTAAAAAGGTTATTAAGTTAAAGCCTACATAACAAGTAATGAGTCCCATTCCTCTTCCTCCACTGGACTCTCCATATTAGCAGCCAAGCTTATATAATACACCCATCCCTAATTCCCATCCAAGCAGAAGATTAATCCCTAGGGAAACTGATCACCTCAGTAGAAAAGACCTACAGATACTAACAGGCAGAGGTTCCTACCTGATAACCCCACAGTGAAACCCATTAGTTGAAAAGTCCTGCTTATATATACCGAGAACTTTCAGTAGCTTTTCACTGCTTTGTAAATATAAATGGATCATCAGACATTTGCAGGGGGAAAAAAAACCTTGAACTTTGTGAAAATAGAGACAAGGCACCAGAAAAAAAAGAAACTTTAAAAACTATTATTAATATCCTCAGAGATAAGAAAATATATTGCATATACAAAACAAGCATGGATTCTCATTTTAAAAAAGGACATTCAGAGAATAAAGTGTTCTTGGAAATTATAGTAGTAAAAAAAATCAACAGAAGGGTTGAAAAATAAAGTTCAGGAACTCTTAGAAAATAGAAAAAAAGACACAGATATGAAAGATAGGAGAGAAAAGTAAGGAAACAAGATATGATTCCAAGAGATTCAACAACTGACTAATAGAGTTCTGGAAAGAAAGAATAAAAAAAGGGAAATGGAGAAAACTGACAAAGAAAATTTCCCCAAACAAGAAATTTTCCCAATTAAGAGTCCACTGATTACTCAGCATAACAAATGAAAAAAGGCTAAACTAACGCACATCATCATTAATTTTTAGAACAATGCTAAGAAAGACAAGATCCTAATAGTGTCCATGGAGAATAGGTCACATAAAAAAGATAAAGAATCACATTGCACCAACCTCTTCATGGCAACCCTAGAAACTAGAAGAAAATGGAACACAACCTTCAATCTCTTCTGAGGAGAAGTAATTACCAACCAATAATTCTATATGCAGCTAAATTATACATTAAATGTGAAGCTAGATGTAAGATATTTTTCAAAGGTATGAGGTCTCAAAAAATTATTGCCTCTGTACGTCCTCTCAGTAAGCTATTGAAGGACATGTTTCAGGAAGATGAGTATAAACTAAAAAGAGGACATGTGATCCATCAAAAGGGAAATATAACACAGAAAAGAAGTAAAGAAAATTTCCAGGATGATGGATAAGGGAGATTTCAGGATGAAATCCCTAGGCAGCAAGCCTAGAGAACAACCAATTCAGACTAGAGTGGAATTACGAAGAGCTCCAGGAGGGATATCTTAAAACAAACAAACAAATCAAAAGGGTGGGAAAAAGCAAAAAATAAAAACAATGAAGAGATATGATAATAACATATATCTGAATATACTCAGAGAATTATACTTTATTGGTGAGTTTGGGAACGACAGGAAATGGGAATGTTCAGTTGCATTAGGCAAGAAATTTTTGTGTTTTGTGTACTGCTGTATTACTCCAAGATCTAGAATGTACCTAGAAACTGGTGGGAAACTATATACATTTGAGTGAATTAAAAAAATGAATAAGTACATAGAAAATTAAATAAGGCACTTCTAAATTCTAGAGAAAACAATTTATTATATAATAATAATAAAATAAATTTAATAATCAGTATAGTACATGGCTCAGCTGTGTATAAAATATCTACAGTCTTATTGTAAACATATTGTGATATAGCTATATTGAGAGGACAGAAGAAAGGATATAGCATGTATGGGTATGTATGTTAGAGAGATGGAGGAGGGGAAGAGGGCAGAAGGAAGGAAGAGTGGGAAAAAGGAAGAAAAGAGGGAGAGAGCAAATAAATGGTTATCTGTGAGAGGCAAATCATCATCTTTCAGAGCAGAAAGTCAATACTTAATGCCTACATAAATGTGATATTTAGAAATATGGATATAAATAGTAGAAAAAACAGATAAAAGAGGAAACATCTAAAACAGTCAAAACTTCTTGTCTCTAAAAAGTGGAAATCGTGAGTAGAAGGGAGTTGTAGAGAAGGCTGCTGTTTTGCATAAGCCTTGTTAAACTCACTGAAGCTTGAAACTATGTATATGCTTGATTTCAATAGTAATAAAAATTAAATTAAAAATAAATTATGGAAAGTCACAAAAAGACAAATATTGTATGATTCCACTTATATGAAGTATCTAGAGTAATCAAACTTATAGAAACAGAAAGTAGTATGGTGGTTGCCAGGAGCTGGGGGTAGGGGAAAATGGGTATAGGGGAAAATGGGTATAGAGTTTCAGTTTTGCATCACAAAAAGTTCTGGAGGTTGGTTGCGCAACAATGGGAATATACTTAATGCCACTGAACCGTACCGTAAAAAATGGTTGAGATGCCAAATTTTATGTTATGTGTATTTTACCACAATTAAAAAAATAAACTATGGCAAAACTATGCTGAAAGGAGAATTCTTGGGTTCTGCTCCTGATAATAGCTGAGTAGCTCCTATAGGACCAAACCTCCCACAGGTAACAACTATAAACCGGGAGAAAAAAAAAACTTGAATGCACTGAAGCATGGCCAAAAGCAAGTAGAAACTGTAAGAGGATCAGCACTTGAAAGAAGACAGCAGCATTGGGAGAGTTTTCAGTGTTTTTTAGTGGCTTTTAGCTGAGGGGCAGGATTAAAGAACTGGAGGACAGAATCTGGGCTGACCAAAGCAGCTGAATGAAAGCCTCAAATTCTGTGTAACAACCATGCCAGTTCTGGCAACAACCATGCCAGTTCTGGCTGACCCCCGGACTACACATGAACAGGGCAGACTCAAGCATCTCAGCTAAAGTAAAAAGAACTCAACAGTGATTATAACTGCCACTTACTCCAGGGAGACAGAGCTGGAATTTGAGTTCAGTCAAGTTAACTGCCTGCTAATGTAAAAAGTTAACATTCAGAGAATATAACTGAATTCCAGAGTCATTCACAATGACCAGAGAACAACCCCAAATTACTAGACACACAAAGAAATAGGAAAACATGACCTATACTCAAAAGAAAAGTCAATCAATGGAGACAAACCCCAAGATGACCCAGGTGTTAAAATTAGCAAAGATTTTAAAGAAAAAATGTCTGTAGTGAATAAAATAGAAAATTTCAATAAAGAAATAGAAATTATCACAAAGATCCAAATGGAAATTCTAAAACTGAAAAATCCAGTATCTGAAAATTTAAAAAAAATCACTGTATGGGCTTACCAGCTGATTGAAAATAGAAGAGTTGATAAATTGAGAATAAATAAAAAAAAAGATTTTAAAAAATTAGCAGAGTCAGGAATCTGTGGAACCATATCTAAAGGTCTAATATAGATGTAAACAAAGTCCCAAAAGGAGAGGAGAAAGAGAACAGGGAAAAAATATATATTTGAAAAACTAATGGACAAAAATTCTTCAAATTTCATGAAAAGAGAATTCTCAAACATGGCTTTGGGGGTATAAATTAACTTTTATGGAAAGCAACTTGGCAATGTGAATCCAGAATGTTAAAAGTATTCATATGTCCTTTGAGCTAGTAGTTCCACTTGGAGGACTCCATACCAAGGAAATAGGTAGAGATAAAGTAAAAAATTTATTTACAGAAATGTTATTCAAACTATAATTTATAATAGCAAAACCTTGTATTATCCAATAATAGGCTAATAATATTGAGTAATAAGAATTGTCACACAATAAATATTTGTTGAATGAATTAATATCAAGTTTCATAAAATATTTAACGACATCAGAAAATATGATACAATGAAAAAAGCAAAAAGAAATTCTGTGTAAGCATAATCCCTATTACTCAATATAGAATATATTATTATAAAAGAAAGACAGAAAGGGGAAAAGAGGTCAAAGGTTTGTCTCTGAATGGTAGGGTTGTGAATGATTTTTATTTTCTTCTTCACACTTTTCCATATTTTTCAAAATTATTTAACTTGATTGTATTTATTTATATGATCAGAAAACAGGTTTCTCCAATATGAAGCTATAAATATATACCAAACATATCCTTAATATCTCTGTCCTACTTATTCTTGTCTTCATTCACTGCTCAAGCTTACCTTGGTCCAGAGTCACGACCATTCATATCCAGATTGAGCTCTTGGGGTTTAGCAAGCTCTTTATGAGCAACCAGTTCTCTCGACTTAAATACAGCTTGAGTTCTTAACCTGTAAAAATAAATTTGACACAGAAATAGAACAAACAATCCTAAACTTTGTATGGAACCATAAAAGACCCTGAATAGCTAAAGCAATATTGAGAAAGAAGAAAAAAGCTGGAGGCATCATGCTCCCTGATTTCAAACTATATTACAAAGCTATAGTAATCAAAACAGTATGGTACTGGCATAAAAACAGACACATAGATGAATAGAACAGAATAGAGAGCCCAGAAATAAACCTATGAACATATGGTCAATTAATTTACAACAAAGAAGCCAAGAATATACAGTGGGGAAACCACAGTCTCTTCAATAGAGTCTTGGAAAAACTGAACAGCCACATGCAAAAGAATGAAACTAGGCCACTATCTTACACATTACACAAAAATTAACTCAAAATGGACTAAAGACTTGAATGTAAGATCTGAAACCATACAATTCCTAGAAGAAAATATAGGCATTAAGCTCCTTGATATCCATCTTGACGATGATTTTTTGGATCCGACATCAAAAGCAAAAGCAACAAAAACAAACATAAGTTGGGGTGTTTACTTAAAAAATAAACATCATTATTTTAACATTATTTTTAAAATAAACATCAAACTAAAAAGCTTCGGCATAGCAAAGGAAACCAACAAAATGAAAAGGCACCCTACCAAACAGGAGAAGATATTTGCAAATCATATAACTGTTAAGAGGCTAGTATCCAAAATATATAAAGAACTCATATAACTTAACAGCAAAAAACCCAAACAATTTGATTAAAAAATGGGCAGATCTGAACAGACATTTTTCCAAAGAAGACATACAAAAGGCCAACAGGTACATGACAAGATGCTCAACATCACTCATCATCAGAGAAATCAAAACTACGAGATATCACCTCACACCTGTTAGAATGGCTATTATAAACAAGACAAAAAGTAACAAGTGTTGGCTAGGATGTGAGAAAAGGGAACCCTTATGCACTGTTGGTGGGAACGTAAATTGGTGGAGTTACATGGGAAAACAGTATGGAGGTTCCTCAAAAAACTAAAAATAGAACTACCACACAATCCAGAAATTCCACTTCTGGTATTTAACCAAAGAAAATGGAAACACTAACTCAAAAAGATAAATGCACTCCCATATTCACTGCAGCAATATTTACAATAGCCAAGACATGGAAACAACCTAACATTCATTGGTGGGTGAATGGATAAAGAAAATGCGGTATGTATACACAATGGAATATTATTCATCCATAAAAAAGAAGGAAATCTTGCCATTTGTGACAACATGGATAAACCTTGAAGGCATTATGCAAAGTAAAATAAATCAGACATAAGAAGATCAATATTATATGATCTCACATATATGTGGAATCGTAAAAAACAAAAAGGAAACACACAAAAATTGAGTTCATGGGTATAGAGAACAGATTGATGGTTGCCTGAGGCAGAGGATAGAGGATGGGCAAAATGGGTAAAGGTGGTCAAAAGCACAAATTTCCAGTTATCAAATGAATAAGTCAAGGGATGTAATGCACAGCACGGTGACTATAGTTAATAATACTCTATTGCATATTTGAAAGTAGGTAAGAGAATGGATCTTGTAAGTTTTCATCACAAGAAAAAAAAAATGTTGTTGTAACTACATATGGTGATAGATGTTAACTGGACTATTGTGATCATTTTGCAATATATACAAATATTGAATCATTATGTTGTACACCTGAAACTAACATAATGTTATATGTCAATTACACCTCAATAAAAATATATATGTAGAAAATAAACACATAAACAAATTAATTAATTTAGAGAATTTCTAATCCTGTGGAACCTAAGAAACTGAATGGTAACCCTTGGAAGACTAGGATCTTCCAACCTAGACCCCCAGCAATAATCTTCAGATTAAAACTCAATCTGTCAAAAATAAATGAGTATGTCCCAAATACACAAAAATAAACACAAATCACTTTCAAAGGAATTCGAATTTTCTTTATTTATTGAGAAGTGGGGGAAGACTGATTTGGTTCGAATAACATTTAAAAACTCAACACTGGCCGGCTCCGTGGCTTAGCGGTTAAGTGCGCGCGCTCTGATGCTGGCGGCCCGGGTTCGGATCCCGGGCGCGCCCCGAGGCACCACTTCTCCGTCCAACGTGAGGCCGAGTCCCACGTACAGCAACTAGAAGGATGTGAACCTATGGCATACAACTATCTACTGGGGCTTTGGGGGGAAAAAAAATGAATAAATAAAATCTTTAAAAAAAATAAAAAAATAAAAACTCAACACTATAGATGCTTTAGGAGCACTTTAAGCTCTTATTTAGAAATTTAAAACTTCTCTCTATCCACAGCTAAGCAAGTGTATTTTGATCACCAGAGTCTAAGTGAGAATTCTAGTAACATCAATTATCACTGACCCTGCCCAACATATCCACAGGAGGCACCTGCTTCCTATACCGACAATTCAAAGAGCTGGGGCTACATCTCACTGACTAACATATTTTCTCAGGGTCACAGAAAAATTCCCTAAAGGAACTAGAAGAAATTCTATCAATCAATGCTAAATTAGTCCCACCCTCAATGTACCGAGGTGGGAAGGCAGTTGAAGAAATTAGCATGAAGTTCTTCCACTGGGAGTTTGGGTGGCAATTAATAACTGGCGCCAAATACGTGACCCTTACTACCCATTCTGTCAGTTTTTTAGAAATGTTTTCTGGTTCATTTTTAGAAATGAAATCTGCAAAAGTATATTCTTTAACTATAAAATAAAGCCATGAAGAAGTAAAAATATTGTTAAAACAGTATGGTCAGTTACATCCTTGTTAAAAGAAATTCTTGCAACTAACTATGCATAGTGATATACAAAGAGAAGTATGTAGATTAATTACCTTCTAGGATTAAAGTTTAATAATAATATTTGGTAGTGACACACAGGTAGGTAGGTAAATGCAGAGAGCTGGGGTAGCTATACTTACATCAGACAAAACAGACAAATCAAAAATTGTAAAAAGAGACAAAGAAAATCACTATTAACAATAAAGGGGTCAATTCATCAACAGGATATAACAACTGTAAATATATACGCATCCAACATTGTTGTTATGTGCCATCAAGTGGGCTCTGACTCCTGGTGACCCTAAGAATGAGCAATGTCCACCATGTCCTAGACTCAAGAGTCCTACTCACCTCCTGTAGACTCATGCCTATGGCTTCTTTTACGGAGTCAATCCATCTCATAATTGGTCTTCCTCTTTTCCCGCTGCCTTCTACTTTTCCCAGCATTATTATCTTTTCCAAAGAATCCTGCCTTCTCATGATGTGCCCAAATTAGGACAGCCTTAGTTTTATCATTTTTGCTGCCAGTGATAGTCCAGGCTTAATTTGCTCTAGGACCCACTTGCTCATCTTTCTGGCAGTGCAGGGTTTCTGTAGAGCTCTCCTGTAATGCCATATTTCAAATGAATCAGCATTCTTCACTGCCCAGCTTCTGCACCCACACATAGTAATCTGGAATAAGAGGGTGTGGATAATCTTGGCCATGGTCTCTAGTGACACTTTCTTACACTTGATGGTCTTTCCTAATTCTTTCATTGCTGCCCTTCCAAGTCTCAGTTTTCTCTTGATTTCTTGGCTGCAGTCTCCATTTAAATTGATGACAGGTAAACAAAATCTTTAGCAATTTCAAAGTCTTCATTTTCTACATTAAAGCTGTGTAGTTCTTCTGTAGTCATGATTTTTGTCTTCTTGATGTTCAAATGCAGTCCTGTTTGGGCACTTTCTTCTTTCACTTTTGTCAGAAATCGTTTAAAGTTATTGCTGCTTTCTGCCAGTAAGATGGTGTCATCTGCATATCTTAGATTGCTGATATTTCTTCCACCAATTTTCACTCCTCCTTCACCTGAATCTAGCCCAGTTTTTTTTGTATGATATGTTCTGTGTACAGATTAAACAGACAGAAGAATAAAATGTACACTTGTCTGACACCTTTGCTTATAGGAAAGCATTCTTTCCTTCCATATTCTGTCTCAACGGTGGCGACTTGTCCACAATATAGGTGATGCATCAAGGTCAATCAAGTGCTGAGGCACACTCATTTCTTTTAGAGCAGGCCATAGCTTTTCATGATGCATGCAGTCAAAGGCTTTACTGTCATCTGTAAAACACAGACTAACCTCCTTCTGAAATTCTTTGGAGTGCTCCAGTAGCCAATGAATCATTGCAATTCAATCTTGTGTTCCTTCCCCTTTTCAAAATCTAGCTCAGACATCAGCTATTTCTTGCTCCATATAAGGTAAAAGTCTTTTTTGTAGCACTTGAGCACCACTTTACTTGCATGGGAAATTAAGAGTAATGTTTCTACAGTTACTGCACTCCTTGGCATCTCCTTTCTTGGGGATTGGGATATATACTGAACATTTCCAGTCTGTAGGCCATTGTTTTGTTTCCTGTATTTGTTGGCATATTCTCATTAGGCTTTTGACAGGTTCAATCTCTGTGGCTTGAAATAATTCTATCGATAGTCCATCTACCTCTGGTGACTTATCTCTTCGCCGTACTTTCAGGGCAGTTTTCATGTCACTCTATAAAATTATAGGTTCTTCCTCATAGGATCCAATATTGGAGCACCTAAATATATCAAACAACTACTAACAGATCTTAAGGAAGAAATAGACAACAATACAATAATAGTGGGGACTTCAATACTCCACTTTCAACAACGGATAGATCATCAGACAATAAAGAAACATTGGACTTGAACTATTAGACCTAACAGACATATATAGAACATTCCATCCAACAGCAGCAGAATACACATTCTTCTCAGGTATAAAGAGAATATTCTCCAGAGTAGATCATGTTAGGTCACAAAACAAGTCTTAACAAATTTAAGAAGACTGAAATCATACCAAGTATCTTATCCAACCACAGTGGTATGAAACTAGAAATCAGCAATAGAAGAAAATCTGGAAAATTCACAAATAAGTGAAAATTAAACAATGGACTCCTGAGCAACC